GGTGCACCTGACCCAAGCCATGGTTATTTTCAGTAGTCTCATATGCATGTGAAAGCTGGACAATGAGTAAGGAAGGCCAAGAAAGCACTGATACCTTTGAATTATGGTCTCAGCAAAGAATATTGAATATATCATGGACTACCAGAAGAACAAGCAAATCTGTATAGCCAGAATGCTCCTTAGCAGCAAAGATGGTGAAACTTCACCTACTGTACTTTGGTCATGTTGTCAGGAGGGACCAGTCCTTGGAGAAAGATATTATGCTTGGTAAAGTGAATGTTCATCAAAAAATAGACCTAAAGATCCTAAAGACCAGATGGATTGACACAGTGGCTGTAACAATGGGATCAAGCATAGCAACAATTCTGAGGATGGTGCAACACTATCACATTATTTATCCCCTAGACCAGGGGGTGAGCCCAAGGGATGATCTCTACCTACTGCCACAACATAGTGGGCTTCTATTAGCAGGCAAGATGCAATGGAATATCCAAAACCAAACCAAACTCATTGCTGTCAAGTCGATTTTGACTCATAGTGACCCCTCCTTGGGTTTCTGAAGTGATATCTCTACAGAAGTAGATTGACCAATCTTCCTTCCATGTAGTGGCTGGTGGGTTTGAACCACCAGCCTTCTGGTTGGCAGTCAAACGCCTTAGGCACTACACCACCAGAGGTGCTTTTCAGTTACGTACTTCCACATAATATGAGGATGTTGGATGTGTCTTCAGTGACTCTGGAAGCCTGATTAGGAAACCAAAGGGTCCAAGATGTCTTCATGTCAAGATTCTTGAGTCTCCAGTTGTGATTTTGGAAGAGAAAAGAGACCCTGTGGACACTGCCTAGGAACTGTCTTTATAGACTGTGTTAAAGAACAAAACCACATATTATGTCTTGTCCTCCAGGCAGGAACAGTGAGTAGTTCTCCAATACTGTAAAGAAGACTCTTAGGCAAGGGAACCATGGGAAGGTTCAGAATGAAATTTTAAGGGAAGGGCAGAACAAACCCAGAGTATAGCACAAGCCTGAGTCCTTGGAGGAGAGAAGCGGGGGGGTGGAGGGGAGGTCAGTGAAAATGGAGAAAATGCCCACTTCTAAGGGGAAATACCAGGAAAAAGGCAGAATAGCTTGGGTAACCTCAGTGGTCTAGATGCATGCTGTCTAATTTGTCAAGAATTTCCTAAGGACCTCCTGTATGTCAGGCTCTGCTACTGAATAAGGTATAAAACCAAAACTCAACATGACCTGCAGGCTTGAGGGGAGTTAGCTGGTAGACATGTAATAACAGAAACAGCTCTGGGAGATGATAGGGAGGTACTCCAGCTGGTTGGGAGGTGTTGGGAGGGAAGGCTTCACTGAAAAGCATTAGCCAAAGCTTGATGATCAAATATTTATCGGGCAGAAAAGCAGAGGGAACACCAGATGGGGTGGCAGAGGCCTCAGAGAACCTGTAAGTTCCACATGGAGGAGGTCTAGGGTGAGCCCGAGTCTGGCATCAACAAAGTGAGCTTGAAATTTCAACAAAAGCAGGAAGTTCTCAACTCACAGGCATCTCAAGAACCTGGTAGAAGAGAACCTAATCTGAATATTGTAATGAAAGGGCTTACTTTGAGGGGAGAAGTGGGAAAAAAAGGTCTAAAAGAATTAGAAAGAATATAAATATACCTGTTTAGAAAGTGCTGAACCTAACCTAACTGTAATATTTGTTGAAGTTTATACATTTTCTGGTCACTTCTCACAGCACCTATTAATATGCATCTAAGCAATAATGTAACATCCCTTCAGATGATGGCTTGTAATTTTTTTTTCTTTTTTAACAGCTTATAATTCATAACTTATAATAAATTATGAATTATTTCTGACTGTGGAAATAATAATTCATAAATTACAAATCATTTCTATTAAAACTGCTGTAAAATGTGTTCCTCAAATAACAGGAAATGAACATAGTTTTTAAACTGAATAATAATTTAAGTTTCCAAATCAATATATCTCTTCTTTCAAAATGGATACTATGACTAAAACCTCACTTTTCTGCATTAAGTTTACACTGCACATACATGGGTTTGATGAGATGAGAACCATGCTTAGGTTGGTTGGAGGTCTTTTGCAACCGAAGACTGATGTTTGAAAGAAGTGTCACTCCACGGATGGGGAAAGAAACTGAACTAGAATGCAGAGGCCAATGAGAGGAAGGTCTTTGTGAAGGATGCTTGAGGTTGGCTAAGGGCTGCTATGTGCAGGGAAAATGAGGACAACAGAGGGACTGGTTAGCAAGGTTGTCTACATGGGGAAGGTCGGCTGAGTAGTTTTAAGGCTCTAGAAATGAGAAGCAGGATAATTTGGGCAGGTAGCAAGTGTAAGGAGCTGTGTCAAATGACTGATGGAAATAGGTGTTAGATAATAAATAAGTAATCGATAAATATACAGGATAATTACAAACTGTTTAAAGGACATGGATAGGGCCATGTGATCATAAGTGGAGGGGTAGTAGACAGGGAAGGCTTCTGGGAGGAGGTGATACTTAAGCTTATATTTTCAAGATAAAAGAAGTCAGCCCAAAGTAAGGGGAAAAGCATTCCTGAATGGCAGAGGGAATAGTAAATGCAGAAGCTTTGAGGAAAGGGGAAGAGCTTGAGATGTACAAAGAAAAAGATGCCAGTATGGCTGGAGCCAAACAGGATGAAAGGATGGCACAAGATGAGGAGGAGGAGGGAAAAGGACCATCGTTTGCAAGAACGGGGGAACATTTTGTTTTATTTTTCTCAAGTATGTTGAAAAGCAGTTGCAGAGTCTGAACAGAGAAATGACATGCCAGTAGCATTGTGAGGTCCAGTTCAGAGGCTGTATGTAACTCAAGTGGTGAAGGAAGGTAGCAGTAGTCTCTAGGGAGGGTGGAGCAGACAGAATAAGAAAGTATTTTGGATATAGAGTCCTGATGGAGGTGGGGGTGAGAGAAAAGGAGGGCTGCATGTTGATTTCTGGAGTTGAGACTTACTGGGTGGGGGATAAATGGTGAAGCCTGGGAGAAAATGAAACAAGGCAGTAGGAATCAAGAATTCTGTTTGACTTGCATTTAGACTTCCAGGTGGACATGCCAAGAGACAATTGGGCACATGAATCTGGAGCTCAGGGAGAGGTGTGGAGTAGATGTATAAATTGGGAGTCATTATCATGTACTTGGTAATAATAGCTATGTTGTTCTTGTTATGTGCTGTGGAGTTGGACTTGACTCATAGCGACCCCTCCTTGGGTTTCTGAGGCAGTATCACTATGGAAGTAGATTGCCCCATCTTCCTTCTGAGGAGCGCCTGGTGGGTAGACCTGGATAAAATCACCTAGGGAAAAATGTAGATTTAAAAAAAAGAGAGAAGAAAGGTCATTATTTGGAGGTTGAACTGAGAAAGTAAAAGAGGTAAAGGGAATGGAGAGAGAGAAGTTAGATCCAGGAGAGTGTGGCTGCTAGGAAGCCAAGAGAAGAGAGTGTTCATGAAGGAGGACAGGTGACCAACTCTCAGATGCTACCAAGAAATTGAACCAGTTGACAGAGAACCATCCCTGGGGTTGTATAGGTGAAGGTCACTGGTTACCTTGGCAAGTGTGTTGTTTTGGGGAATTGATGGGTAGAGAAATTAGACTAGAGAAGCCTGCCAAGTGGATAGGAGGCCAGAAATGACACATGACTCTTTGAGAAGGTATGCTGTGAGAGAAACCAAGGAATACAGCAGACATTGGAGAAGGTTAGAAACCTTGGTTGATTCTCTCAACAGTACAACATGAACACTTTCTGTGATAGACACATACATATCATCATTCACTTTCCAGTCCCCCATTTTATAACCATCTTGCTTGCTTGCAGTTCTTCACTTTTATTAAAAAAAGAAAAAAAAAAAACCTTGTATATGCATCCTTTTTACATTTGACAAAGTATTTCCCTAGGATAAATTTTTCTACATGAAATCTGAAAATAGAATAGGAAGGATAAGCACAACTTGGAATTTCCTCATCCAGGACCCTTTCCCGGAAATAAAATTATTCTTTCAAATAGCTCGTTTAATTCTACAGCAAAAGGGAACACAGAAAACAAGTTCCTTATTTCTCTTAGCTGGACACTACTAAAATAAGAATTTAGAAACAGTATGGTGATGGTTGGTTGCACAACACAATGAACATCATTAGTGTCATTTAACTGTATATGTGAAAAATACAGAAAAGGCAAATATTTTTGTTATATATATACTTATCACAATTAAAAAATATGTAT